GGCTCATTCACTGGCGCTTCCACAAACAACAACCAACATAATTATTACATTCAAATGAAGTACATTATTCAAGTTTACATTAACTTTGGATAATAACACGGGAGAAATGAGCGAAGTGCTCTCTTTTCCTCTCTCCCTCCCTCTCTCTCTCTCTCTCTCTCCCTCTCTCTCTCCTCTCTCTCTCCTCTCTCTCTCTCCCTCTCTCTCTCTCTCTCTCCTGACAGCCCGTCAGTATCTCATGCAGCTCACTGATCCAGTAATGAGTGACCCGACAGTGAAGAATAAACATATTTTTAACTAGTTTAGCTTGTTCCAGAGGTAGATCAAATAGCTAAGTGTGTTAGGTCTAACTCTTAGTGTGTGTTTCGCTCCGCTCACCGGTCCGTCACAGCGGGTGGAGCTGCAGGATTTCTGCTTCACACACGTTGCATACCGCTATTTTATTGTCATTTTCGGACACCTTAAAATACTGCCAGACTGGTGAAGCCATTTTGGCGAGCTTGTTTTGCCGCGCACAGAGAAAAGTGTCATGTATTTTACGTCATCATTTTACGTCATGCGATCGGCTCTCGCGATCGGCATTTTTAGAGAGCACCGATCGATCGGCAGAGAGTGAGTATCGGCCGATATCGATCGGCAGAGAGTGAGTATCGGCCGATATCGATCGGCGGCCGATCGATCGGAGCATCCCTAGCCATCAGGAAGCTGTGGTCAAGTTGTGGCAGTACAGAACGTTTTTATTTTAAATACTCTGATATGAAAATGATGTCCTTGCACACAAGTGTTTAATATCACTTGACCATTCACGTGTGTGTGTGCCAGTGTAAACAGGAAGCAGATAACACAACTGGACATGTGCTTGATTTTATTCTATTTTATATTACGTTTTAATTTTGTTTTCATTGTGTTTTATTGTGTTTTTATTATGTTTTGGTGCTTTTATGACTTCTTAACACGTGGCTTGTGTGTTCATTTATCATTGTACGATTCCTATGATGATGTTTTATTGTTTTGTCAAGCACTTTGTGACATTGTCTGTGAAAAGCGCTTTATAAATAAACTTGACTTACTTACTTACATATAACCAGTAGTAGCATGATAACATGGAGAATTGAAATTCAAAACAGCTGTTAGCATCGACAACAAGTAAGAAATGGCTGTAGTTTGCTTTCTTCTGGAAATGGGTCATGTGACGGCGTAAAGAATCAGGGGAGAACGATGGGAACCAATCAGAAAACAGCCCTGGATGTCTATGTGTGTGTTTTTTTTTTTTTTAAAGTATCTGTTTCCAAATCCCAGAGATTTCAAACCAAAAAGGTATTTTCAAGTCTTAGTTTTAGGTTTTGAAAAATGCTAGAGTAGTGTGGACGCAAGGAGTAAGCATAGTAAAAATGACCACAGCCCAAATTCAAAAGATTTGGTGAGTGTTTATATCCCGATCTTCTGATATTAAGTGTCTGAATTGCAGCAGAGTGCTTCCTCTCTCACCAGGACAGCCAGCGGCAGAGGGATGAAGCCCATCCTGCGGGCCACTGAGTCACTGTAGTCTGTACAAGCCTGCAGAGAGACGGAGAGAAGCGTTACAGCCTTTATATATACAGTCTGGGGTTACAGCACTCAACAAAACTGCATTTATCAGCTGCGTGGGCTCACTGCTGTTTATGTAAGAATAATGAGACGGCTGCTTACATTCTTCTGCCGACTGCTGACGAGATCGAAGGCCAAACTGGCTCTGTATTCACTGTACACCTGGGAAGAGAGGAGAGCAACTATGGGAGCAGTCCACATACTGGGTAATGATATATCATATACACATGCTGTATTAGGATAAATGATGTGTGTGACAAGTCCTTGGTTAGTGATTAAGACTATTATAGAGATACTGATCAGGTTCAGTCCTTACATCGGCTGTGATGTCGTTGAACTTGGTGATGAACGCGTGTTTAATGATGTCCACTGCAACCTCAGAGGTGACGACCATGAAGACATCGGGGAACAACACCCACAGGTGGTCTGAGGGAACAAACTCTGAGTTATTTGTAAATCTTTTATAAATATAATACATGAGAGAGTGCAATCCTGCGTCCAGGTACACCCAGTTAACTTTGTGTTCACTGCTCACTCCTGACATATTCTGATCTCAGATTAGATATGTGATGTTGCTAGTATCAGCAAGTTTGATAAAGAAGAGTTGAAAGAGTTGAAGTGGCACAACTTTTTTTGCCACTTGGGGGCAGAGGACAGAGCCAAAAAACAAAAACATGCCTACATACTGTCAGTTTATAAAAATTTACCGGAAATGTTCCGCCCCTTTGCAACCCTAATCCTAACAGCTTCTCAAACCACCCAACCGCAATTTAGCATTCATTTATATACATGTATAAGTCCACCTGACAAACCATAATTCACTGGTTTAGCTCAGTTTTTCTCCCACCAACTCGTGAGGAACATATCGAGTGTGAGACTAGGGCTGTGCGATTATGGCAAAAATCATAATCACGATTATTTTGGTCAATAATTGATATCACGATTATTAAATACGATTATTCATTGACTTTGAAAACATCCATTTATTGAACTTTTAAATACAAATAATAATTTGAACAGTATCTTTTTAACTGTTGATTACCCTGAGCGTATAATTCAACTGAAAAACCAATACAAAAATAAATTAAATTATACATTTATATCTACATTTAAATAAATAATAAATACCAATAAACAACATCAACAAATATTTTGGAGCGCACTTCAACAAGCTACTAAACATATATAAATATGATAAATACAAATACATTTGATCAAATATGTTGCAGTGCACTGTCACAACCTAGCAAAGCAAAATAATCGTTTTTTTTCGATTATGTTGTTTTTCGTAATTGTTGCAGGCCAAAATCGTAATTGCGATTAAAATACAATTAATTGCACAGCCCTATGTGAGACTGAATCAGAAACAAAAATTAAAAGCTATAAGTCACTAAAATGCTTCATAGAGCTGAAGGCAACTGTAATATAAGTTGACAATTGCCACTACTTAAAGTAATTTGAACCGACAACATTACTTTGATTTGTGCAGCTTTAAGGAATTTAATTAATCACACAATTAAATTCACTCATTTTCAAATGCTATGCAGTCGGCACGATACAGTGTATAACAAAGTGGCTAATGTCTCAAACTAACAAGCTGGGATTAACTAACATTTAACTACAGGTTTCCATTCTTGTTTACAATTCCTAAATAATTAATGAGCAAAACGGCTTTGGCTCTCATTTCATTTAAAAGTGTTCAGTGAGTGATTAGCTGAGAGCAGGTGCTTTGGTTGCGTGTGATGTAAACAAAGAAGAGCAGCCCCCACTAATGCACCGTGGACAAGTGAATTACTGGGACTTGTATACCTCATTAGCAACAGAAAGCTGCAGCTCGCTAGTATTAGCACACAGTGTTATGATTCCAGCTGACAGGCCATGTCTGCCAGTGACAGTGACATGTCTCTCTCTGTGTGTGTGTGTATGTGTATGTGTATGTGTATGTGTGTGTGTGTGTGTGTGTGTGTGTGTGTGTGTGTGTGTGACTGACAGGAGTGTTTTCAGACGACTGTCACACAGAAAGTCCCAGCTCTCATCCTTCACTCAGCTCGGTCTCATAAACTGTTTGTTTGGGATGGGAAAGATCCCCACGGTGTTGCAGTGGGTCAAATCAAAATCAAAACAGCAGGAAAAAGGATGCTCAGCCTTTTTTCTTGTCTTCTTTATCATGACAAGCTCTGACCTTTTGTACTGGAAATATAACTTTGAAAATATAGAGAAAAATCAGCTTTTGAAATACACAAGCTATAGTGAACATGCTGTTTGTTTGCATTAACTATATTGTATATTGTGAACAAATCAAACTGCAGTCGGACGCTGGTTAATTCAGCATTCCTCTATGCCAGTGGTTCCCAACCTGTGGGCCGCGGCCCCCTAGTGGTCCGCGAAGGCAATGCAAGTGGGCCGCCAAATAATTTCAATAATTTTTTTCAAAAATAAATTGTATTTTTAATCCACTCTTCAAACACCTTGAATTAAGATTACTCCTTGATTGACTTTTAAAAATATGTATTTTAGCCAGAAGAATAGTTCTATTTATTAACTGTGTGCGGTCTTCATCTAAAAGCCCAAATAAAATATTAAAGGGTGTAAATGTAAATTCAATATTTGCTGCCAAATAATTTGCAAAACATTATGATGTGTGGAAACATTTTCATTATTAAGATTTATTTTTTATTTTAACCCCTTTTCTTTCTCTTTCTTGATCCTGCTTAGCAACGGTCATTACAGTCCTTAGCAACGGTCATCACAGTCCTTAGCAACGGTCATTACAGTCCTTAGCAACGGTCATTACAGTCCTTAGCAACGGTCTGTTCTACTGGCTTAACAACGTGTCACATGTTCTGAATCGAGCAATCAGAACTTTATTTAGCCTCCGTATTGTTTATGGTTGAATGTGGGCCGCAAAAAAACCCATTGATTCTTAAGTGGGCCCTGAGTTGAAAAAGGTTGGGAACCGCTGCTCTATGCCTTTGTTAAAGCCAATCAATGTAATATGTAGATGTGAATCCCTGGTGGGTCAAATCAATAAGAGGTGAAGATTCCTGTTATCCACATGTACTGGACAGGATCTAGCCGGGATAAAATACATTAGGGACTTTATCACTAATCTTTAAATCTGACCTTAAACACAATCTGTTTGGCACTGTTGGAGGGGAAGACATTTTTTCTGACTGCAAACAAATGCCACACACCGTCATTCGCCTGTCTCAAGATGTTGATGTAGATCTGACCACCCACACTCAAGGGCAGAGGGACATCATGTTCAATCTAAACCTTGCAAATATACGCTACTCAGTAACTCATAAAAAAAATATTATTATTATTATTATTTATTTGTAAGTAGATCCGAAGATACCTGAGTTTCTGACTGCCGCTAGCTGAAGCTTGGTTGCTAGGTTACTAGCTGGGTGTTCTCCGATAAGGGGCCGGGGGAAACAAAGTTAGTGATTACTGGTTCCATGTTGATTTATTTCAATACAAATTGTTTGGGGGAACTGAAAGGCTATTACCGTACTGGTTACTTTTCAGCCCGGACATTTCCCCCAAAACACATTTAGACGCGATCGCAACACAGAAGTACCTTTCAAATCCGATCATTTTTAAGACCTTCTAAATCATATGTAAGACCTTTGTTATTTTTTTGATCATATTTAAAGGTAGGGTATGTAAGTTTGAGAAACCGGCTCGAGATACACTTTTTGTTATATTCCATGGAATGCTCTTAACATCCCGATAGCAATGAATATCTTAAGTGCTTTGACAAAAAATCCATAAAAAAATGTCATCTGTGGAAGCCGTAGTACTGTAAAAAGCACGACCAATCATTTTAGCCGGCCCGGCTAAAATAACTGGATGGCCTACCTGCCTGTCAGCCTTCCATCTGTGCACAAACTTATCTCGTGCCCTCATTGGTCATGTGCGCGTTCGTGTGTGTTGGAGGAGGGGCTCTATAAGGAAGTGGCAGATTTTCTCCGGTCGTGTATTTTCAAATTCTAGCGATCTCGAGCCGGTTTCTCAAACTTACCTACCCTACCTTTAAGACTTTTTAAGGCCTTAAATTCTGATTATCAAATGTAAGACTTTTTTTTAAGACCCCGCGGGAACCCTATAAATATAAAACCTGACTTTCAGCAACTTCCTGTAATATTCAAAGGACAAAGAATCCTTTAATTTATGGAGATTTTTGCCTGAAGTCGGGGCTAGCAGGGAGTGGGATGATTGGAAAGAGATTACATGTTGTGCTCTGCTTTCACAGAATTGTCAATTAACAGAGCACATCAGATATTTAGTTCCCTTGTTTAAAATGCATTAAAAAATAATCTTGGGAAACAAAAAACTGCAGTTTGGGGAAGAGCAGATGATTACCTGGGTTCCATGCGAACTGCTCCATGTTCCTGAGACAGACGATGAGCAGGAGGACGTAGCTGGTGAACCGCTCCTTTATATCTGTAGGACAAAATAAAGACATGTGGTTAAAGAGGCACCAACATTTAAGACAGAAATCAAGAGTGTTGCATTGGTTCGTATTAGGTATCCTCATACTGTAGATATGCGATCCAGCGGGTGGTGTTAAGGGAGGTGTGAAAGGAGGTTTTAAAATTAGATCTGTCAGTTCTACGTGCGAGGTGCTTTGAGAAAGGTCTCTGTTCAGACGTTACAGCAGCATCACAGTCACAATTGCTTTCAGAGTGATCACAGTAAATGTTTCAAACGTAAGTGTAGTACAATTTAAAGACTCAGCTGCAGAAATGTAGCATGCCATTATATATGCTAATTATGACCACGCTTGGCTCCATAAACAGGAATGATGTGAGAGAACAGTGAGAGGTAAATGGCAGCTGATTAAGGCTCCTCGTCTTCTGCTGTCATTAAAATATAATAAGAACAACAAATAAAAAAACACATTCTGCCTCAGGGAATGAAAAGAGAAACGCACAACACAGTCAACATCTCTGTGTTGTACGAATAATATCAGAGCCAAATCATGCAAGTAAAACACATTATTGTTATATTAAGGTGCTTGTCATTTAAATATGTTTTGCTTTCAGTTTGATGCTTCGAATATGCATTGAATATCTTACCACTGTTAGACATTTGGAACAAGTTGTTCTTCTCAAATTTCTTGAACACACTTCCTTTGATTTCCACAAACTGTCATAAAGAAAACACAAAGAACAAAGAAAGGAATACAGTTAGCAGTATTTAGGATCCAGAATATACAAACAGACCCCATTATCATGTTGCAGCTGAATTTAAACGTTTCATCTCCAGTGGACAAAGTTGAATCTTTCTAGGAAACATCTGCATACATATTATTTAAGTTAAATGTAGCACGTCCGCTTATATTTTGCTGTGTGCAAAAGTTTAGCTGCTTAACCTGTTAAGCCCCATAGCCCCTGCCGGCGGGGGCTTTTCATGAACAGGGTATATGCAGGAATCCTGAAGTCAAATGTAATACTAAAGCGATAGTGGTTGTCTAATGGATAGTGAGGTGGGCTGAAGATCGGAAGGTTGTGAGTTCAAATCCCACCAGGAACACCACCACTAGTGTGCCCTTGAGCAAGGCACTTAGTCCTTAGTTACTCCAGACCTCATCGCCACTTCGAGTTCTAATCATTTACATTGGCGACACACTTTACCTCACATTTACTATATACAGTATGGATTGTCCTTCCTCCTTATCTTCCAACCATTTGGACGCAAACTTGCATTTCCCCATAACGATGTTGTTTAACAACCGGCGTAAACGGGCCTTCGCGCGCTATCGAGCAGTGAGCGTGCGATGTCCTGTTCAGATGACGTCAAATCCAACGGGAAAATGCCGTTTAACACTTTTTAATACTTTTTAATGGCCTTAATTTTCGCTAAATTGATTGATCAACTTTTAATACTTTTTAAGACCCTGCGGACACCCTGATGACATTTTCACGAAACTGTGTCTCAGGGCTTCTTAACATTTAACAACCTATTAATGTGTCATACCCACTTAACGGAAAGAAACTCAGCTAACAGACGATATGAAAAAACATTTCCGAAACAAAACACAACTCTAACACCAAGCGTCTGAATTAGCACTAAGCGAAAGAGTGCTAACGCACTTAGCACACAACTCACGGTAGAAATATTTTATACTTCATCGGATATTCACAAACAAGATATCATATGAAAGCTGAGATTCCAAAACTCAGGGCAGCGAAGGCAAGCAAAGACAACACACAACTTCACTTTCCGTGGTCAAAACGGAAAATACGTCTTACCTTTGCTGTTTTTCTGATCAAAAGTTGTGTTCAATGGCATTCAAACGCAGATAAACGCTGCTGAAGGTTAATCCAATGTGTCTGTATCACTTTGAAATGATTACTGATAATCCATCATAACATTTATGTCAATAAACAGAGTTTTCATATAGAGTGTATGAGAGCTTCTGGTTTTGGGCAAACTGCGCATCATTCATCAATGGGTAATGTTTAGATGGATTTTAGGAACTTGCCCTCGATTCTATTGGCTCTAACGGTTCAAAAGAGATGTCAATCACCAAAATCGACCGATGGGTTCCAGAGATATGGAAAATGCACCCAAATGACCCCAGAAGTGGGTTTTTTTTTTGTGCTAAACCTCTCTAAAAAGGTCAAATGTCACTTGTTTTGCATCAATCTTGATACAGGGTACTTATTATATGTTATAGTTTGTATTCCTAAAGCTTTTAGTCTACTATCCCATCATTTCAAGGGTGGTTTTCACTATAAGTAATGGGTTTATTTTTGGACGGAAACTATAATTTACATTTTTTTTACTATGTTCAATCTGAATTTACTTTAAAATTTAAAAAATCTATATTGATTCTGACTTTTCTACATCCAACTCACAGGTTTATCATTGCTTTGAGAAAAAAGATTATTAATTTACCCCTTTTAGAAGGGAAGATATAGTCATTTGTTCTGGGAATGTCATTTTCGAGCCCGAGACCTGAAAGATAGGCTTGGGGCTCAACTGGTTAAACAATCAGGCAGATTGTTGCACATTAATGTGTAATTGCGTGTGTGTGTGTGTGTGTGTGTGTGTGTGTGTGTGTGTGTGTGTGTGTGTTTGCGTGTGTACTGACGTTGTTGGACATCATGATGGTGAGCAGGGACTTGTTGTGGGAGTTGAAGGCGACGTTGAGGGTGGAGGCTTGGACCATGATGAGGATGGCATGCAGAACTGAAGAACAGCAGCTCAGGAAAACAACTGATTTAACAAACATTCAGCACTGAACACATAATACAAATAATCACAATTTTCTTTTGACGTATCCTGCCAGCAAGACCCATATACAAAATGTATACATGTCTGTTTGTCTTGCCGATTATTCCAGCAGGAAGGCAATCCAGCAGAAATAATATAAGAACAAATGGTGTCCGTCAAGCAAGTGATGCAGGCTTAATTTATCTTTTTTAGTGGTCACCTAGCTCACAAAGAAAGTAGTTCGAAGCATTTCATGACACTGTGGCTACATGTAATTTGTCAAATATAAACACAAAGGAAAGACACACCAAATATCAATCACAAATAAAAAATTGACATTCATCTTTCTGTTGAACAAGAAGGATACAGACATAAAAGACGGCCATGAAGAAGTGAGGAATGACTCCTATACTGTCTCTCTTCCGCTCTTTGGGTTCTGTGGCCGTCCAGTAGAGAGCGTCCAGGATGTCTTGACCGAAGGACGAGAAGAGGCGGTCAGCCACCTTACAGAGGAACGACAAAAAAAACAAACACATTATTCACTTACTTTAACCTACTAGACAACCTCTTACAATTTGTTCAAGATATTTGGATCTTGAGTTGTTCTCTTATTAGATAAGATCACACCTCATTTGCATTTTTTTGCCGTTTATTATAGGTTTTATCAAGCTGAGCCACATGACTGTTCACAACAACAAATCTGACATTATATCAAATCAAAGTGGATTCAAACTAAACCAAACAAACAGTCTGACGTTTATTGCTAAATCAATGACTTCCTAGTAATTCAGAAATGTACTTGAAGGGTGGATCCACCCATGTTTAAGAATGCAAGCTGTTAATTCAGCACCCAACACGAGATGTGAGCGTATGAAGAGTGCCGTACCTCCAGCATGTTGTAGATGATGTACAGTTTGATGACGGACTGTCCTCTGATCAGGTGGTACATCATGGAGTAATCCACATAATGCATCATGGAGAAGCACAGCACCATGATCAGACCCTTCAGCACGTCACACACCTGCGCTGGCTGCAGCAGCCGAGACCCACTGACCACACACACACACACACACAGAAACACACACAGACTTATAAACATACAGTTGCTGTATTGATTATAGAAATACGTTAAACCAAGCTTTTGGGAAAAAACGTCCGTACTTGAACACATACTACATGCTGTTAATAGGCGCACCAAGTACTTTTCCCAGGAATAGTTCCCGGAACTTTTATTTCCCTGGAACTATCTAGTAGATCGCGTTCACACCGGAATAAGTCCCTGAGGGAGGATTACGCAAATGAAGCAAACCCCCAGGAAATACGCCGGACTCTATGCCAATATTCGTTGTGTCCAAACGGCGGTACTGCAATTTCCGTATCAGTCCGTGACGTCACCTGGCCCAAAACAACTTTTTCCCATTGACTAACATGGGGAAAGAGACGTTGGTGGATAATTTTTTATTAACTAAATAAACTATCCAGTATGAACTATTTTATAGCCCTTATTAGAATCATTCGGTCCTTAAAGTTGTAAAATGCACTACATTTATTTTATTTTATTCTACATTCATTCTACTGAGCCGAGAGTGGGAGTGCACATACGGGTTCTTCTGCTCTGACAGCTAAGCATGACGGGTAATCTGTGACGTTGGGCCATTTTGTCTTCATGCGCCAATGAGCAACTCTCATAGGAAAGAACGAGACCCTGCCTCCCACGCTGTATCCAGTTCTTATTATACATCCATGAAATGAAGCCGCTGACCTCACTTATTCTTCTTCTGCTTTGGGTTTACTGGCAGGCCGCAAACAACTTCACGGCGTATACTGCCACCCGAAGTCCCGGAGCCCCCCGGAGTCCGGGGCTTTGGGTGGCAGTAAATCGCCACCCGAAGACCCGGGTAAATCGGCAGAAGCGCCGACACCTCCTCATCACTCCACCGATCTCTCTCCGTTGGTGCGCTGGGCTAATGCTAATGCTAATAATGCGAGGAAATAAAATGGCGGCTTCACAACAACTTGTCAGAGTTTTACGGCGCGTGGTTTGCAATTCGCCCAGCCAATCAAAAATTGGAACCTTTTTCTCCCCAGGAAAGTCCCTGCTCTCTAGCAGGGAGTAAAAAGGGGTGATAAGGTTCCCGAAAAAAAAGATATTTTTGGTGTGAACGCAACATCCCAGGAACTATCGGAACTATTTCTGGGAAAAGTACTCCGGTGTGAAAGCGCCTAATGCAGTAAGTAGTAGTAACATGTGTATTACCTATATTAACAATAAAAAGTATGATTTTTCAGATGCAATATACAGGTATGCTGACAAACACACACACACATATTTGGACCAAATATAGTCTAAAATAGACTGCAACAACAGAAGGTCGAGATATACAGATTCTAAAATTCATTTCTGTTCAAAATGAGATATTCCAAATAAAGGAAAGGGCTACAACTATCGATAACAAAAAAGCCACAATGTGATATATTAAAGTTAGTATCTCCTTTATACAAAATGTTATCTCATTCATAACAGTTATCTCCTTTCACATGTCCTTTTCTGTGGCTCTGCTTTTTATACACATTATATCTTTGTTGATCTGCCAACCTGACTACAGCACACCGACAAAGACTCATATGTATTTGCGTATCTTTCTGTAGGGACATTTTCCATTTTGGACAGAAATGGTGTTGGGTGATCAAAGTAAATGGAAGAAAAACGGGTAATAATGTTTTTGAAACATATGCAGCTTTCATTATTAATAGCAATGGCTGGCAGTGGCAGCTTGAGAGCATGTTAAGAGGAGGGCTGACAAATCCATACGAGCGGTTATTTAGTATTTACTGACAGGGATAACGAGAGGAGCCGGAGAGAGAGCTTAACTCTGAGACATGCTGCACATTTTACATGTCAGCTCTGGGACTGGACTTTACATCCACAACCATCCAGTACAGCGGGAAGAAAAGGCTTCTCACTGACCATAACTCAATAATCCAGTATTCACAAACAGTATGGTTTTCATACTGAGAGGTAACATCTATTTGCTGATATGGGTGTTTAAACAGGATTCAGAAGAATAACACTGCGTTTTGCTGTTGGCTGTTTATTCTACCACATTACCACAAAGACTACAGTATCATTTCTCTCTCTACATAATCATAGTTGGTTTATAGCACACAGTAGCTGGTGGTTGGCACGCTCATAGTTTGGAAAAACAGACAGCATATCCAGCATACTGCTCTGAAATGAGGAGCAGAACAAACGTACTTTAAGAAACAATCCATATCATTTCAAGTGTATGCTTTATTTACAATATTTTCTCTTTACCTTGCCAGTCGACAGACTTCCCAAAAGGAAATTAAAGCCATTATAACCATCTAAGCTATCTTCAAAACGTCCAGACTCCATTGACAAAAAGTAATTTAACATGACATAACATAGGAGTTGCTGGTCTGTCTGGAAGATTTGAAAGAAATATAGATTTCGGCTTTAATCCCTGTTAGAAAGGGCAGTTTTGGGTGGCTAAACTAACTTTTGCTGCTGCCACCATCAACATCAGAACTTTGCTTAGCTTCTGTAATGTAGCTTTGAATGCTTCTACAAGCTGACTGTTATCTATTCTAGGTTTTCTAGCCGCGTTCACACCGGACTTTTCACCGTACTTTTCGCGTTTAGTTCCGTTAGTATGTCGCGTTCACACCAAAAAGAGTACTTCATCTCGGGAACTTTTACCCCCATTTTTAGTGCCGGCTGAGAGATCATACTTTCCTGTGGGAAAAAAGTGCCCCAGTGCTGATTGGCTGGGCGAATTGCAAACCACGCCCCGTACAACTGTGAAAATGTTGTGTAGAGCCGCCATTGTTTTTCCTCGCTACAAAAACCCAGCGCACCGACGGAGAGTAGTTTGTTTTTGAAAGCAGTTATGGCAAGCATCAAGAAATCATCGGAGCGGTGGAGTGATAAGGAGGTGTCGGCGCTTCTGGAGATCTACGCCGAGGACGCGACCCAGGGAATGCTACTGAAGGCAGTACCCAACTCGAAGATGTTCGATCGTTGTTCGAAGAAGTTACTTGAGATGGGAATCTTGCACAGCGCCATGGCATGCCGGCTAAAAATAAAGAAACTCCGGCAGTCTATGGGAAAGAACCCAAAACAAACACCATTGTCCTTTAGGTAAAAATTCTCCACTAAATGACTATAAACACAGATTAATACTTGACTAACTCACTAGAGGCAGGACAACAGTGAGCTACTCAGCTGTTATTACCTTAATCAATTTAAACGGCTGTTGGCTTGTCTTGCATCACAACAACAGGGCTACTTCTCCTCAACCCTTTACACTTTTTTAAACACGAGTGGAAATAAATCAGTTTTAGACGGGAGAAAAAGGGGGCTTAAGGGTGTCGAGATGTGAACTATTTTAGGAGCAAAATCCAAGCTAAGAGAGAAAAAGAGAGAGAGAGAGGAGGAAATGGCGTGAGTTTAGGAAGACGTGTAAATGAGCTTAATAGAGTGTCTTCTGAATTGTGTGCAGCTGAGCACAAAGCTGTGGAGAGAAAGACATGAGATGAACATCTGGGCCTTTTGTCCGAAGCATGAAAGACAACGATTGCCTTTGTAAACAAGGAATAATTAGGGTTTCGTTTGAATACACTTAATTTATTACCAGGTTACACTGATAAGGTGTATTTACATGTAGTCAAATCCATTTACCTTTATTATTTTATCTCATATCTACACACATGACAAGGGAAAGATTCAGTTTAAACGGCACCATCTAATATCAGAAGTGGCGTCTTATGATATTGACATTTTCTCGGGGTTTCCTGAAGCTACAGCTCCATCCAGTGGTCACATCTGAAGACATTCATGCAAACAGGCATGGTACAGGATAATGACTAAACCATTGAAATGTTCTTATTTCCTTGATGTTACTTTTTTTGTTTTGTGATTCAGTGCTCAATGTACAACCATAAAGCAGAGATATATAAATAAGGGAGCTACGACAAATTGTGTGGTGGCAGAATATAAGCGATTGAGGATAAACATAGAAAAACAAAACTAGTTTAAAGTAGGACTTCTGCTAAACTTAAAGTCAGAGAATCACTTAGTAAGATTAAAAAAAAGGGTCCGATCATAGATAAAATGTACTGAGGCACCAATATCAGAGATTCAACTCAATAATGAAACACTAAATGTTTACTTACTGATGAGTTAATTAATGGTTACAAACAGAATAACACCACCATTTAAATATAAACAAAAATAAGAGGAACATTTGTTCTTATTTGCTTCATGCATGAGGTCCATTTTGTGCGATAAATTACTTAAACAATGAATATATCATCAAAATTGTTGTTAGGTTAATTATATAACTGATAAACAACATTACAAATGTAAAAACACTTGTTGGTAAACAGCAGCCCCGGTGTTCAGGTGTTCCAGTAGCTGTGGCTCTCTGGAGGCTGCAGGTAGTGCAAAGCACTTAGGGCTGCTCGATTATGGCAAAAATCATAATCTCGATTATTTTGGTCAATAATTGATATCACGATTATTAAAAACGATTATCCATTTACTTTGAAAAAATCAATTTATTGAAAAAAAAAATGTGAACAGTATGTTTTTCACAGTTGATTACCCTGAACTTTAAGTATAATTCAACTGAAAAACCAATAACAAAATAAAAAAAATCGTTTTATTTCGATTATGTTGTTTTCATAATCGTTGCAAGCCAAAATCGTAATTGCGATTAAAATACGATTAAAGGTAGGGTAGGCAAGAATGGAGAAACCAGCTCGAGTGCGCTAAAATGTGAAAGTACGCAGCCGATAAAAATCTGCCCCTTCCTTCAGACTTCCTTACAGAGCCCCTCCTCCAACACACACCAACGTGCACATGACCAATGAGGGCACGAGATACATTTGTGCACGAGATGGAAGGCTGACAGGCAGGTAGGCCATCCAGTTATTTTAGCCGGGCCGGCTCAGATGATTGGTCGTGCTTTATACAGCGCCACGGCTTCCACAGATGACATTTTTTATGTATTTATTGTCAAAGCATTTAATGTATTCATTGCTATCGGGGCGTTAAGAGCATTCCATGGCATATAACAAAAAGTGTTTCTGAAGTGAATTACCTACCCCACCTTTAATTGAGCAGCCCTAAAAGCAGTCCTCACTCTCTCTCTTCTACAAGCTTTATCTCCATAACACACATGAACATTATATGTTTGAGTGCAGTCAGCTGTGTGCTGCATTCCAAGCAGCCATCACTGTGAGCCGTTCATGCTGTATTAGCCTGATATGAGGCATTAAGACTCTGCAGCAGGAAAAAAAAAAGCTGCTGATGCAAGCCTGCAACCTGCCGAGCAGCGGGGGGGTTCTGTGCAGGGAAGGAGAATATGTTTTCCCTTCATCAACAACAACAACTGAATTCAAATCAGATGAGCCCCATTCTGCTCCAGATTAGATGTTTAAAACACTAGAACCGCCAGAGGTCGCTGTATACCTAAAACCGCCAACGGGTCAAATTTACCCGCTATTGATTTTCAAGGTACAATGTTCTTTTATTTATCATGTACAGAGAGTTTTGATCGCACAGGGATGAAACTTATACCAATAGAATCTGTGGACTCTCAGCTTTTCATATGATATCGTTTGTGCAGATAGCATGAAGTATAAAATATCGCTACCAGTGCTGATTTAAATGCTTGGTGTTAGACTTGTGTTTTGTTTAGGTACAAATCTCTCTCTCTATCTATCTATCTATAAATATCTATCGATCTATCTATAACTATCTATCTGTCTATCTCTCACTCAATCTATCTCTCTATCTATAAGGAACCGCAGTAGACAAAAGGCGTTGCTATAGCAACACGTCATGTTTACGCTGCATTTTCTATAAGGTAAATATTACCCCGCTGATGGGTATAAATGGCAATTGTTTGGGCGATTTTTTCAATCTGACTTCATATTGACAACTTTTAACAGAGGGTGCTACATAACACACTTTCAGGAAAAGTCACGGACTGGGAGACTTGAATATTTTATTGAAAAAAAGTTACATACAATCAAAAAACAGCTGCGGGTCAAATTGACCCGTTGGCGGTTCTAGTGTTAATAAGCAGCCCTCCACATAAAGCATGTGCAGCTGTATCACTGACAGGCAGCGTGGAGATGAGAATGAGCATGCACTCTCAGCAAACCTTCCCTGGAGGATTCCAAAAATAAAAACAGACTCATGAGGAACCAACAGGGCGGCTCTGGCTTTGACAGCGGACTTGAGGAGTCAAGCTGCATAATAACAGACAAAATGGAGATGAAGAGAAACTGGTGAAAGGTTTGGAGGGCTGGGGATGATGACGGTGAAAACATGTATGAAGCCGTGATAGGCTTTAGGAGCGTACCTGCTTCTTCTGCAGTAGGGGCATGTGCGTGCCCTGCAGGGGGAGGAAGGCAGGGGAGAGTAAGACAAAGGGTGAGGAGAGCAAGGGGACAGGCAGTGTCCATCGTGAGGGGGGGGGGGGGGGGGGTTTGGGCACATATGACGTTGTATTTTTACTACAATGCTTTTCAGGGAGGGAGAACAAAAGAATCAATACTACAAAGTAAAATCAAGTAAGAGTACTAAATTATTAGCATAGAAATATACATATTGGTTTCAGGGATTGAAGCCCATAAACGGCCTGAACACAGGTCGAGTGTCTCTGCAAATAAAGCGGTAAACACACACCTGTAGTGGGTCATATGTGATGGTAAGACAGATTATTACTGTTCATTTGTTATTATGCAGAATGGCCCATTTCTGAATCATATATATATATATATATATATATATATATATATATATATATATATATATATATATATATATATATATATATATATATATCTATATATATATATATATATATATATATATATATATATATATATGTTACAGCTGGTTATGGCCCTATTTAATTGCCTAATACTATTGGGGAGGTAGATTTATATTTGTATTAATAATCTACATATGAAAAATAACTAAAGTAGATAAATACATGTAAGAAAACAATGAATAATGTTTGTTTCAAAGAGCAACTGACATTTTTAATTAAAGTTAAAAGGTACTTAGTTACATTCCACCACCATTGCTGCTTTTAAATCTCAATATCACGTCATTACGAATGATACACTAATAAGCATATTTCATTGGTATATTTGCAATATTACATTACATAAAAGTTGTGCCAAACTGTTTGAGGCAAACAAAGTGAGATATCAATCCGCCATTTTAACAAACATATGTGGAATCTGATTGCATTTACAGACGGGGATCTGGGGAACTGCTTTTATTAGATAGTGACAGGGGACAGAGAGGAAATGTAGGGAAAGAGCAATGTGTATTTGCTACCATGTGTAATGCGCCATAACCTCTCAGCTATTGGCAGTTTAAAATATGTTCACGACGCTGAAGTCATTTATTATAACCAGTGTACCTGTAATAGTGCAGCCTACACCTCTGAGTGTTTGCACAGATGTGTTTGTATTCTGGTACGTCATTATACCGTACATTCTTTGCAGGTTTATGTCAAATACATGTGTTTATTTGAGTATGCAGGTATAATTGTTGCAGTATGTTTACTGGGAGGAGAGTGTGTGTTTCGAGTCTGACCTGAAGCCACAGCATGGCAGCGTGAGGAGGCGCAGTACGGCCAGCAGCACCCTGAGGGGCAACAGCGTGAACACGTACAGGAAGGCGTCCACACACAGGAAGAAGCCAAATGTCATCAGCTGTGTCAAACAACGATATGCAGAAAGAAAAACCTCCAGATTAAAAGAGAATAGCCTCGGGGGAAACAGTCTTAAAAAACATCACCTTTTTCCCAGTGTCAAAAGGACAACAGCAATACAATAATATAATGAAATATATGTGACCTGCTCCATCGAAATCAGTTGCATTGACCCGAAGACACATTTTGAGTTGTATACACTATTGGCAAGAGGAGATTCCTAGCTTTCTAATGATATCAGGATTGTTGTTGTACTCCAAATATTAAGCAAAATATGTCACATTATATAATGACTGTCACCGAGTCATCATTTTGAGAAATCATCGATCTGATTGATTATTAGCGGAGCAAATGATCAAAGTAGTAGCATACGGAGGCAAAATATTTTCGTTTGGATTACTGGTCTGGGGGAAGCTTGCGAGTGTTTGTGTGTGTGTGTGTGTACGTGTATTTTTGCGTTTGTGTGTATTGTGTTTGTTTCCCGGGGAAAACACTCACGAGAAACACCGGCTGTGGTTATGCCTGCTGTGACGTTAAGTTACTCCGTTCTCCGCTTGTAATTATGCCGTCACAAGCTTCAAAGTTGTATTTATCATCTGAATTTGCCGAAACAAGTTTAATATCCTGAAAGCCAAGACTTTGTTTATTTGAAATCAGATGAAAACAAACTGTCACGGACCCTGCCGTGTTATCTATGATTACTATACGCCATAATGTCAGCGGGAGGGAGGGGGAGCGGCGCTGCGGAAGAGCAGGGTGCGAGTGAGAGCTGTCATCGTCCCTTTACAAGCTTCAAAAATGTATTTATCGTGTGATTTTGGAAATAAAAGTTTCATATTCTGAAAGCCAAGACTTTGTTTATTTAAAATCAAACAAAACACTCGAACCCTTTTTTTTTACGCAAATCCACGTTTATTTTGAAATGAGCCGTTGCGACTTCCGACTGATTTCGATAGAGCGGGTCACATATGTGAGATGAGGATACACACGTTTCTTCACAGCTGAAACTGAGTTCTAGCTGAAAAAGTCACTTGTTTTTTAGGATGTCACATCTTTGTTCCATCAGAGAAAAAGCCAGCAGAATGTTAATAACCACCACATGTGACACACGAAAAAAGACTTCTCCTGAATCCAATTAAGCAGCAAACACATACCTTCATAGTTCCCCACATACAAACAGCCATTGCCTTGTCATTTTCAAAAGTAATGAGTAAATCTAAGCCAGCTGAAGTCTTCTTACTCCTACTTCTAACTGGGAAAAACATGGAGGCACTGATGTAAGTTTTGGTGGGAGGGTTAGTCTCTTATTGGTGGATTCTGTGTGAGTTGTCAGGTGCCATGACGTTGGTTAGTCTGCGTAACATAGTAAAGTCACTGAGGTTTTTTATGTTTACACACATTCCTCTCCTGCCCCCAAAGGAAGTGAGAGCTGCGTTACGCTGGGCTCGCTTGTTCGGATGTGCCTCTGCAGAGAGAGTCAACTCAACTGCAGAAACAATAAACAAAGACACAGAGAGGAGCGCCAATGACCATACTGAGAGATGTGTAAGCATATTTTCTGTGTAATATTCTAGGTAAGGCTTCCTAACTGGTTATATGTTAGCCCTTTTAAGATATATCAGTCATGTATTATTGTAAACACAGATTCCTAGAAAGAGGCCGCACACACAAATCCACATTTGATGTGTCTGCACTGCCTCCTGGTGGCTCATAAGAAGAACAACAAAAATAAACAGCTGTCAGTCAGCCACATGGCCATTTAAAAATAATAATAATATTGTTTTACATACGTCAATTAATTAATTAAACAGAATTGATGCAGTGTTTATATGCACTGTGTACTTGGGAATGTAACACATTATTTCTTTACTTACAGATTATTTTAAATATATGTTGTTTTATTTACTATACAGGGTTCATACACTTTTTCACGAATGATTTTCAATGACATTTACCTAATTTTCCATGACCAAAAAAATTACTCTTTCTCAGCGGTACCACATGGAACAGGAAAATAAGGTCTGCATATGAAACATGTTGTGCCTATCTAAAACAAATCAAATAGGCTTACTAGCTTCTACACGCTAAAGCAACTAAAATCTCTCACCAGCAAAATGCCTCGTCAGTTAAATGCCATTTTATGTTTCATTACTATACGATACAGTAATTACTATTTCGGCGATTAGATCAAATATAAATTATATTTGATGCAACTTTAGTTAAATTTCCATGACTTTTCCAAAACTTTGGGAAAAATATTGTTTTCCATAACTTTTCCAGGGCCTGGAATTAGCATTTTGAATTTCCATGACTTTTCCAGGTTTTTATTGACCGTAAGAACCCTGACTATATCACGTCTAAACTAATGACAATACAACATTCAAGAGTTACATTTTATAGTTACAAACTTAATCTGACTAACTGCTAATACAGTCAAACTTATTATGATATTGAATTGAAGCAAGTTTAATCTTTATTTGAGAAGCTTTAACCAACAAACCTTTGGTATGGAATGCTTGATAAATAAATTAAGCTTGAACATTGCAGGACAATGAGAAGGATTTGACAGTTTGACAGTTATAGGCTGACTGTGAGCTGTGAACTGAATGAAATGATGACAGCACACAGCAGATAGATGGAGATGACTGAAGGGAAACAGGGCAACTGTGTAGGGAAACTATGAATAATGATGTATCATACACATGTTTACCTTCTCCAGCTCCTTGGGAATGCGCATGCATGTGTAAACTCTCTCTCTGCGCTCGGTGTACTTTGCCTCATTGTGCTCCAGGAAGTAGCCTCTGGTAAGCTCTGCGCTAATGAAGCGAGTCAACGATGGATCTGGAACAACATCAGAGCACATTGTTAGCACAAGGGCATTGTCTGCAACAATTACAACCACAGCCTCAGCCGTCCACACAATGAGAGAGCGTTACAGTGCAGGCTGAATGAGAAGGAAACTTCTTTGAGTGGTGAGGACAAATATTCTTAGCTGGCTGTTTGATTCCATGCACTGTTGATACATCTGTGTACCAGCTGAACATGCCAAAGGAAAGTCTTTGTGATGAACAGTAGGTTTTGTTAAAGCAAACATGACTCTGATAAAAGTACCTAACGTGGTAGTGAGAGTTCATTTTCTTGTTTGATTAATCTACAGATTATTAACTTAAATGTAGCCTTCAGTTAGAAAATCCATTACAATAAGAACATATTATTAGACTTTGTAGATTCATCAATAGATGTTTTTTTTTTATATGATTATTTTAGGAGCTTGTGAAAACCAATAGCAAGAAAAAAACACATTTGAGAAGCTTAAAGTGGACCTATCATGCTATTTTTAGGCAATAGCATAGGTCTCAGATATATAAAAATATATAAAAAACATGTCTATGAAGTGTTTTGCTCAAAATACCAAACAGATCACCCATTCTAGCCATGCCTCATATCCCTCTATTTCACTTCGTGTTTCCAAAGTGCTGATTTTTGGTATAAAGCTTTAACAAAACAAAAAAAAATTGATTAAAAAAAAGGAGGGGGCTTATGCCTGTTTATGCGGGAGATTCTACCGGCAGATTCTGCCGTGATGAAACGCATATCATGGATTATCAAAGATTATTTCTGAAACAGTATGGAGCTCAAAGGCTTTCTCTCTTGCCGGTTATACCACAAGGTGAGTTCCTTTTTATTTCCTGCTTCTTCACACACATGCTCTCCAGTACAGGTTAGCTCTGAGTGTTAGCGATGCTAATGTAAACATGCACCGACCATATTACGTCCAAAACAGTCGGGCATTGTTTCTGATAGCAACGTTTCTGATAGGGCCGTGGGTGTAAAGCCAGCCTACATTTAAGATATTACGTCATATCGGACGCAAATCTGGATCAGCTCCGTTGTAGCCCTGTTTTTAGAGATTTGGGTACGGAGGAAAAGAGAGAGGGTTTTATTTTCTGACGCTGCGTGAGTTCCCTGACACACCGGGGACACATGTTTATGTATAAAAGACATCAAAAAGTGCATTTTGCATGATAGGTCCCCTTTAAACTGCAGAATTGTAGGATTCAAGAAAAATTATGGATTTTTCTGTCAATCAAGAAGTTATTAATCTCTTAATGAGAGTGATGTAATACACTGATACAATACACCTTGTAAAGGAAGGCTTTTTAAAACCATCAGAGAGATTCACTATATTGACAACCGGATTTTGTGGACCAATTAAAAGATCGAATATATATCTTATTATACACAATTATAATACATGCAAAATAACAACAGACTGAACAAGAAACTTGTTTCAGTTGTAAACAGTGTCTCAGTCTCACTTCATCCTAATTGCCTCATACTGTGTTAACATTATTTCCACTTGATTTGAGCCTTTGAGATCCTGTCAAACATGCTATTCTTCATAACTGAAGATGTATTCATTTTACGTTAAACATCACATGACCTAACAGTATACTGTTGGCTCAACAAGCAACAGTTCAGCTGTTAATGTCGGAGTGGCACAGGGAGCTGTAACACGTTGGTGTTTAGTGGGATTACAGTGAAAACAGTTACATGTAGCACCACAAACATGCCTGGGTTACAAAGATATTTACACAGTAGAGTAGAGTAGGGCCTGATTACAATATATTTTTTTTTAATGTTAAATTCAACTCAGCTTACAGTGTCTTTAGCAATTGTACTTTATACTGTCCAATATTCATTTAATAGTGTTTACCTAACCTTTAAGTTCCTTTTCTTGATGAGATAAAATCATAATGTGCCAGGTCAAATGAGGGTCCAATGTTTACAGGTCGGTGTCAAACCATAATGTGTAACTAAATGACAAGTTATGATTAGGGGTTTAGCTGTGACCGTCATGGTGGCTGCGTGTATTTAGATAAAGTCAGAAATGTTGATAGCTTAGATTTTGATGTATTTGAATCTGTGACCCATACGTTTCAGTAATGTTAGAGCATTCACTCTAAGAAAACTCAAGACTCTGAGACTAAACCAAACTGTATATTGACATGTGAGGTGTCACTAAAGTAAAGCTGCAACTAGCCTAATGATTATCTTCAGTATGTGACAAACAGTTTCTCTATTAATTGAGCATTTTGTCCACAAACTGCTCATGCAAATGTTAACAGTAACACTCCTGCTATAATGTAGGTGGCTTATTCAGATGTCCTGTTTAGTCAGACCCACATTCAGAAAACAATTTGCAGTCAAAACTTAAAAGCTGCACATCGGAGAAGCTGTAACCAGTAAAGGTTTGCTTGAAAAATATCTGTGATAGTGAAACTTTATAAAATAGCCGCTTTCACACCAAGTACTTTGCCGTACTTAGTTCCCAGCACTTAGTACCCCCATGGAACTAAGTACAGATCGCGTTCACACCGGAATAAGTCCCTGAGGGAAGATTACACAAATGAAGCCGCTGACATCACTTCTTCCGCTTTGGGTTTACTGGCAGGCCGTAAACAACTTCATGGCGTATACTGCCACCCGAAGTCCCTGGCCGGAAGTCCCCGGAGTTGGGGACTGGCTTCAGTAGAAGCTGCTGGGACTCCCAGCAGCTTCTACTGAAGCCTTCCGAGTAAATCGCCAGAACGCCGACACCTCCTCATCACTCCACGCTCCCATGTTTTCTTTTGTGTTGCCATAAGTTATTCTCTCTCTCCGTTGGTGCGCGGGGCTAATGCTAATGCTAATGCCAGCAAATACAATGGCGGCTTCACAAAACTTTTCAGAGTTTTACGGGGCGTGGTTTGCAATTCGCCCAGCCAAATCAGAAATTGGTACTTTTTTCCCCCCAGGAAAGTACCTGCTCTCTAGAAGGCACTAAACATGGGGGTAAACGTTTTCTGAACTAAGTTCTCTTTTTGGTGTGAACACAAAATTCCAGGCACTATCGGAACTAAACGGGAAAAGTACGGGTAAAAGTACTCCGGTGTGAAAGCGCCTAATAGGTGCCAACACATTTTCTGTCTATCAACTGATCATGAGGTAATCGAACTGTGGGTGTCCTTTGTGCTATCATCTTGTCTATGGTCACATTTATATTCTTTACACCTATCATAGTTTGTGATCTCTAAACGGGGCTAAAGCGATGATTCAAATGTTTTTGCACAGACAGTACAACCAAAATTCATCAGGTCACAACATCTGACGTGTGACACCTGCAAGGCATGCTTTGTGGACATCGTGTAGTGAAAACTGTGGTTAGATAGTTAATGTCATATATTACACAATATTTACTGCTAACTGAACTTTAAACAGATATCGCTGCATGCACGGTTTATGAAGGCATGCAAACTAACTTAAGGCATTACTGCAGTAGTTAGATTAGTGAACTAGTTTTAAACAATGGCTTCATTGTCTCAGAGAGAGTTGTTTTTAGCTAGCAAGATACAGTTCATTATATGTGTAGAGGTTTTACTGCTTTACATACTTGTTTATGTACAATGAACACACAGCATAAGGAATGTAGCTGCTTTATTGTGAACCAGCAGCAGGTACACAGCAGTGGTGTAAGGTGACTAAGTACATTTACTCAAGTACTGTACTTAAGTACAATTTTGAGGGACTTGTACGTTACTTGAGTATTTTTGCTCCTTTGTACTTCTACTACACTACAGTTCAGAGGTCAATCGTGTACTTTTTCTCCACGTCATGTATCTTAAGTTACTTTGCGGATTTGGATTAATGATGTGAATATAATCAACACTAAAATAATACTTTATTTAAACCTGGAGTTACATTCACAAGCTACCCTGCAGCATGCAAAGGATTACAATTAGTTACACACATGAATGCATCAATAATGTAACCAAAACATTATGAAATATTATTCTGAAATGGGCCAATCTGCAGAATAAGTATTTTTACTTTTGGTACTTTAGTATATTTTGATGCTAATACTTTTGTACTTTTACTTGAGAAACATTTTGAATGCAGGACTTGTACTTTACTACACTCTGTTATTGCTACTTTTACTTAGGTACAAGATCAGAGTACTTCTTCCACCTCTGGTACAGAATGCTGACTGCTGACTGACAAAGTGACCATAACCCCACACACTTCACTGAGTATCGCACTTACTAAGGTGGCCTGCAATGGATAAAACACTTATCATTCACCAAATGATCTACAATTAGATAATCATCCTAGCACTGACTGTAAGCGTTTGGGATCTTTTGTCAGCTTTAACTAAATAACACTACTCCAGAAGCTTTACTAACTTTAAAAGTACTTTAACGGGTCATATAATATAAGTCACATCACTATTAACGTTATAATGCTAACAGCCAGCAAACTGAAACCCATTCCAGCCGTTGGTTCACTGTAACGTCGGTAACGTCAACGGTTGTTACCTGCTGCCTCCCGTTGCTCCCTCCTCCTGACAGCGCTTATATCGTAGAATCCCAACGTTTCCGGTAGGTCCGGAGTTATACCGATTTTACCGGACTTGTGCAACTCGTCCCACGGTCGTTTCTGTCTTTTCTTCAGCTCAATTTCTGCTTCTTTCTCCTCTGACAGCTCGCTCCCCGACACGTCCGCCATCTTTACTTCGGTCGCTGCGTCGCCTCGTGCAACGTCATCGCACTATGGGTAAAAACAAATGACGTAATAACGTGAACGTGACTAGCAGGTAGAATCAACAGTTTTTGATTTTATTCACCTTATTTTAATTTGTTTTTTTAAATCCCTTGAGAACAACTTGGGAAAACGTAAGTGCTTTCATTAGAAGCTATATATTTTTCAAAATTAATTATTATTCAAATAAGTTATATTTTTTAATGTTTTGGTCTCAACCTACTACACAATTAACAACATTCTCAAAGCCAAATTACAGGTAAAGAATGAATGGTTATCACAAAAGAGTTCTGGATTTATTGGAATGATTTGTCTATAAATCCAGTACTCTTTTGTGATTAATACATTCAAATTAACATTATTATTATTAAGTTTATGAAAGGTTATTCACCTCTCCAATTTAAAACATGGTTATATCAAAAAAGTAGTAACAATTGTTCTTTGCTGGGATGGGGGACACCTTGAATTATTTGTATTTGACAGTCGGATCCAAATCTATTTAGCTTTAAGAGGTTTGTCAGAAAAAATAATAATAACAAGAATGATAAAATAATTATATTAAGATGCAGTAGCCATTATACTCCACTTGGTGTCGCCAAAGTTCCATCAAATCTTCCTAGATGTAAAGTCTACCCAACAACAGAGTGTTTCTCAGAGTTATCTGAAAAACTTTGCCGAGTACTTCATACTTTTTTGCATGTTCTCAGTTACTCAGCAAAATTATTCAGGTAACTCAGGTAAGCAGATGAAGGACACATACAGCTATCAAATCCAGGATAAAATGTTCTAATGTTTAATATCCTTATTGATGTGAAGAAACACAAATACAACCAACTAGTGATGATCTGTACATTGCAGTGTCAGTTTCCTACTACATAACTGCAATAGCTATACTGAAGCACATTCCTTTGACTATTTTTTAATTCTGCACACTTCTACCACTTTTAAATGCAGAAAAACTGTGCATTTTGTTTCACAGAAATTTGGCATAAGCGATATTTGCTCCTATTTGACATTTTAATTTATCTCATTGTGTTGATGTATGCCACATTACATACTAAAGCATATTCCTTGTATGTGAAAACGTACTTGGCACTAAACCAAATTGTGATTCTGAAGGCTGTTACACATTAGAGCAGAAACATACCCAAATGCACCTCTAGATAGTATTATGACATCTTAAAACTCCAGTTCTTAATTGTGATTTCCAAGGAGCAGGGGCGCATGAACCTGTAGTTAAGATCAAAAGTGAATGTACAGTATGAGCATATAAATAAAGTAAGCATAATGAAGTATTGTTTGAATACTGGAGCACGTTTATGATAAAGGTCACACTTCATACTTAAAACATGAATTATCTTGCATGCTCGTCTTTGGAGGGTTCTTTGGGTCAAAATATCTTTATTTTATCTCTGAATTATTAAATATCAGAAGAAAGGGGCAGCTTCAGAAAAAAGGCCACTGCTCTGTGACATTTGGGAGACTTACACCAAAACATGATGTTTAGGTTGGGTTACTGAATCGAGTTTATACAAGGAAGAGGGAAAAATTAGCACAACACTTGCTTTATAGATTTTTCTACATACATTTTAGTTGTTTAGGTTTCAAATTCACAATTTTTAGCCAAAAGGCAAATCAAATGTCCAAAATTGCATCAGTAAAACTGTCTCACTGCAACGTCCAGTTAGCAGCTGTTGAAGCGCTTTCAGTTGAACTACACTTTCCTCCTCGATAGATGCGTCTCTATCCAGTCCTTCTGTATAAATGTACATTTTTCTGGAGCATTTTAAGGACTTTTCTCTCATGTAAAATGATATAATCTGCTGTTTCAAGGTCAGCATTTCCAATGATTTGTCAAAAGAAGTCGGAGCTAAAAGTAAGAAGAGCAAATAATAAACAGATGCATATAAGCAACTTCTTTTGTAAGCACGGTTTATTGGCACACATAATGGTAAAGCATACATACCAGACATCAGATATGACACTGAACACCTCTGCTATATAATGTACAAATGGTGTCTAATAATACTAGGCTCAAACATATTTAGAAATGTGTTAGCTTCCTTACAAATGCACAAATAAATACCCATAAGATCCAATTGTATAAAGACATAATGTCGCTGACTCTTTGCCCATTTTTAAACAAAAAGTCCAACAAAAGAGATCAGGGATATATTATCAATTCAATTAAAGATTAAAGAACAATTGTGAGCACAAAGACGGGGATATCAAACATTTTCTGTGGGGTGGATGGGATTTTGTCTGTGCTTTGTTTCTCAAAATGTAAAATTGTTTTGTTCTTTTGTCACAGAATATACAAGAAGTGTGACTTAACGTTGTGGCTTTGGTTGTGCACTAGCTAGAGAAGATGGGTGACATCAGAGAGTTTTGTTTTTTGAGCGAAGCAAACCAGCGTCCATCCGAACCACCCGACAGAAATCTGATCCTCCTGCGAAAAACAAAACAGCTGCCATATCCAAACTGGTTTCAGTGGCTGATTTACAGTGGACAAAATAGCCTCCACCTCTATTTACAGAGCTACAAACCTTGTAACAGTGTTCCCAAACTGATGAACCCAAAAGGAAAATCAGACTTGTATGTGTTTTTTTTAAAAAGTACATATATCAAACGAAATCAAAATCCTATAAAATCATGCAGGAAAACGGCTTTAGTATCAGTTTGGGAGTAGGTCGTTAAAGGGAAAGAAGTCAAATGTTTTGAAAGGAGAGGGGGAAAAAAACATTAATCCGTGTCAGCAAAGTTCACATACTGATCGGCAAAAATTACAACGTGACTGCAAAGGATTCTGAGAGAAGCAAAATACCAATAGACTACGAACACAATCAAACTGGTTTGCATGAAATCACAATCTGTGACGACCGCGGTAATGTGGAAAAAACCATCCTAGGACACGATTTCCCCGTCGTTTGAATGGAGTCCATGGCGGTAGAGAACTTTTATTCCCACTTAATTGGAAATGGAAATAAACAGCAACAGCAGAAACGAACCAACCGCCGACTGAATTTCCAATAAAAATGCAATTGCCTCAAACAATGCTTCATTTGTCTCCAATGTGGTTCCACCAGCTCTGTTAAAAACGCTTCCCTCCGTTGCCTTGACATTTAGTTTGTTGTTTTTATTCTTCTTCTTTCCTCCCCTCTGCCTACTGTCAGCATGATGACTTGTGACCTGCAGGTCAACCAATCACAGCCGTGCGATCCACCAGACCAGAGCTTTCACTGAGGGAGCATTTGATCCACAATTTCCCCCTCCAAAAAAACCCCACCCACGCCTTGTTTTTTTTTTTTACATTACAGGTGCATACGACATATGCATTTGTTGTCTCTCGGGATATTGCTGTGCCAGTTCTCCAAGATGTTTCAGTGATTCAGAGAAGAAGAAAATATCCAGAATATTTTTCGGCCAGTGGTGAGTTTTTCTGATTCAGTACAATGTTATGAGGCCCTCAGGGGGGGAAGGGGGAGGTTAAAAAGTCCAGTCCACACGGAGTCAGGGTCTTCTTCTTTTGTTTTTACTGCGAGGGCTGAGGCGCCGTGCTCTCCGGCTTGCTGTCCTGGCCGGAGGACGGCTTGCTGCTCCAGTTGTTTCCCAGAGACGGGGAGCCGTTGAAGTCGTCCTCGTCGTCCAGGCCGTTGGTGGCGTCGTACTGCGTGTTCTCCAAACGGGTGATCAGACGCTCGTCCTCGTCCCCGAACTCGCCGCCCATCAGGGTCGGCTCGCCCACCACCATCACGTCCTGAAAACAAGGAGGAGAGCACGTTTACAGACTGAAAAGAAAGTAAATGACTAATGTTTGTGGGTTCACATGAGGTTAGTTATTGTGTTGTTTACAACTGTTTTATCCTACACACTGTAAGACTTCCACTTCATTTGTTTAAATAGAATCATAGGATGTTAGGTTTTTAGTTTATTAAGGTAGCTACCTCTAAGATTTAAATGTTTAGGGTGAACAATAATATCCTACTACTGAATTAAGCAACTTATAATTTAACATCAGATCTTTACAAGTGCTCTGCTTAAGCAACCGGCTGACCACAGACTGAGTGATTTGAAGTGATTTGAAATAAATAAATTGCTTTGGCAATCTAAAAATAACATTTACTATGAGTTAAAGGAGAACAAGAAACACAAATCAGACCCATTTATACTCAGGAAAAGAATCATTTCAATCAGAAATACTTCTACTAATTAAGAAAAAATATTGTCAAGCAAAGAAATATCATATTTAGTTTTTATGTAAATATTTAAGTTTTGTTTGAGATGTTTCAAGTCTTATTGCTACTAGGCTCCAGCTTACCATGAACATAAACGACCTTATCAGAATACTAACATATGTTAAGATTTCCCCTCTTGCTAAATGTGCTTACTTATTATGAAACTTAACCCACTTGTAGTTTATCTGACCAGTTTAACATTTCTTAAAACTGTCTAACCTCTGTTTTACAAAAATAGTACATACATATAATCAATTTCTACACGAGCACCGTGACATGTTTTCAGATTCGTGCAGGAGCGTCCATATTTAGCCTCGGGGCGATTCAGAATTAATATGCTAAAGTGAGAGAGAAATCACCAGAGAAGAAATGAATGCATATCTGTTTCATCTGAGACCAAAGCAGCGTCTGAATATCAAGCTAACAAGACCTTTTAACATGTGCATTACTTCAGATACATGAATATGCATGTTGTCTGTTTCACATTGAGAAAGAAATAACACATTTTAATCAACTGCCTTTTCAAATGTAGGGGTTATAAATACAACAAGGTCATGAAGAGGAACATTCACAAGACTTTCAATCAGCAGCTCATGTCTTTACAGTGTTTGATCTATTTCTGTGTTCATGTTTTCTGTCTCCCAACTGAGCGAGAATCTGCTACGATGCAAAGGATTTCTCAACACAGACCCCCTGCTTGCAGAGTGTGTGTGAGTGTGTTTCAGTGTGTGTGTGTGTGTGT